TCCTGCTGTTTCCTAGTTTGGCTGGTTATGTGCTTTTAGCTGACCAGAATCTTTAGTGACTGTAACTGGAGAAGATGCTGGTGTCATCTCTCAAATGAACCTGAAATTTCTTAAAATGATGTACTGCATTGAAATACAGTTGCAAGATACGGGAAGTCTGTATTACAGCCAAACAATTATTAATACCAGTTCGGAACAAGATTAGTTCTGTGTTGTGACAACACGAAAGCTATTCATAGGTCACTACTAAACATGGAGTTTTGACAAACTGTATTTGTCAACAAGGAAATCCCTCCTCCTCACCATCGGTATTCTTCATTTCACTCACTCGTACCCTCACTATTTCTATTAAAGCTAAGCATTTCTAAACTTTTTTCACTCAAGGCTTACCAAGCAATGCAAAATTATTAAAGGCATATATTTACTGACAGCAAAAGTCATGCTTGCTACCAAATATCACATTAACAGTTTCAACAAAAGTAAAAATGTCATCCTAATTACAAACCTTATCACAGATTATTTTTTAGAATCATAAAACCATATGAAAATTTAGGGAATTAAAACATCTCAACAGCATAAAAGAACATAAAAATCTTTTTAAAAATAGGAACAAAAATCCCTTTTTACTTAATCTTTTTATGACAACAAACTTTTTCAAAAGTTTAACTGTTCAATATAAACCTTACAGCAAAAATAGCTGGACACCCTCTTGTCCATTACAAGACATTTTTGCACTAGTAAATACATGGTGGCTTATAGTCTTCCTTCGATAAAGCTGATGGAGCTAAAGGGATAAAAAGGCACAAGACCTCTCCAGAGTAATCTCCAGGAGTCATGAAATTTATCTATCCATGATCAGGATAAAAAACAATGAAATTATCACACTGACAAGCGCCACTTCCCACTTCGCCAGCAGCACCCGCTAGTACTTCCCTTTGTCTGCTCTACCTACAAGCGGCATATCAACTGCTTATCTTTGCACATGGTCTCTACATTTGGAACTTCCCCCAAGCTCCAAGAGATCTATTCCTTCCCCCTGCTGAAGTTTACAAGAATGACACAAACTATTTTTAAAAAATATCCATTTTCTTTGCCATGAGCAAAGCTGGCCTTTGCTAGAGAACTACAGTTAAACTCTCAGTCACCTTACCATGGTATTACAAACACATCCTCTGAATTACTGTTGCTTCAAATACACACATAGGTCTGTAGTAAATGTAAGACAGCCTGACTTACCTTAGCCCACAATGAATTTGACTACAGACTATTGGTGTAGCCTATCCTACTACTGGACCTCTCTCACAGCAAACAAAAGAGACATAAGATTGTAAGGATTAACCTTTCTGTGTTTTCCCCAAAGAAAAACAGTTACAATAACCCGTTAAGTAGAGTTAGAATGTGTAGTTCAAGCAGCTAACACCCCTTAGCAATATGCAGTAACCACCCACTTGAACTTAAACTTGTCTTCTTATGCTCTAAAATATTAAGGGATAGTTTGCATTAATCTCTTTTATGCTTTGTATTTGGCCTACCTTCAGTGTCACTTTAAGTCCATCCTTCACAAAGTTTACTTTGCATTAAAATAGACCCATAGACGCAGCCAGCTTATCTTGGTGATGAAGCAAACTACTTAGCTCAAACATGCAACCACAAAGGCTTATGTAATTACGTCCAAATGCAATATATTATGCACTCAATATCCAGGATCCATCTCTCAACTTCTCCTGCAAATATCATTCGGTATTATCCATTAATTTTAGTTAACCAATTATAGCCTGTAAGTCAGTATCACCATAGAAAACTAAAAAGGAGTACAAGACATCAAATTACTAAGGATGATAAAACAACTTCTAAAAGAACTTCAATAATTAACTCCAAGGATACTATAGAGCGTAATGTGCACGTTCAATGTATTTTATTATTTTTTTAAATAATTCTGAAGTCTCTTACAAGTACAGAAGTACAGTGGGCTTGCCCTAAAAAACATACCCTTCTTTTCAAAATGTCCATATTGCTAAAGTTTTCATCCACTCTCTCATCCTTCTTGCCTATTTGTCATCTTAAAGTCTTAACTAGTGATCCCTCCACTCTAGGTAATACAACTACAAAGGCTCATTTTCCAGCTTCCCCCCTTCTGTCTTTCATTATGCCAAAGTCATACTCTACTTTTCATTTTTCTACTACCTTTCTTTTCTGAGTTGACTAGTCTCATTCACAAGCCCCCTTTCTATCTATCATTTCATTCTGTACTGAGAAGTCACCTCAAATTGGCCTCTTCCATTACCCACCTGTTAAGTTTTCAAACCCCTTTATTCTTTTGTCAGGTCTCCTGCTACTACTGGCAGGGCTGCCTCTAGCCCTCTGCAAGACTGTCATTATTGTCCTTTAAAACTCCTCTACATCATGGTCACGAAAAAAAATTGAGCAAGGTATGCTAACACCAGAGCTTCCCATGCTGACTAATCTTATGTCTCCTCTGCCTGTGCTCCTCTGTCATCCACTCTGACCTTCTGCCTTATATTTAAGAACAATTTCTTTCAAGTGGAGAGTGACTTCTGATTCTGGGTCTGTTGATGCTCATGCACTGGTATATGATTACAGGCCATAAAATTCTGTCAGTATAAGTAAAAAATGACAGACTTAGCATTTCCATAGACTACAACTGCACTTTTTAAGAGTAATGCAACCTTGCAGCAAAGGTGGCTAATGGTATCCCAGGCTGCATTAGGAAGAGTGTTGCCAGCAGGTGGATGGACATGATCCTTCCCCTGTACTCAGCACTGCTGAGGCCACACCTGGAATGCTGTGTCCACTTCTGGGCTCCCCAGTACAAGGGAGACATGGGCATATTGGAGAGAGTCCAGTAAAGGGACACAAAGATGATTAAGGGACTGGAGCATCTCTCCTGTGAGGAGAGGCTGAGAGAGCTGGGACTGTACAGCCTGGGGAGACCTGAGCTCATGGGAGACCTCAATGTGTACAAATATCTGAAGGAAAGGTATAAAGAAGATGGAGCCAGGCTCTTTTCAGTGGTGCCCAGTGACAGGACCAAAGGCAATGGGCACACACTGAAACACAGGAGGTTCCCTCTGAACATCAGGAAACACTTTTTCACTGTGAGGGTGACCGAACATTGGCACAAGCTGCCTGGGGAGGTTGTGGAGTTTCCCACCTTGGAGGTACGTAAAAGCTGTCTGGACATGGTCCTGGGCAATCAGCTCTAGGTGGCCCTGCTTGAGTAGGGGGGTTAGACCAGATGGCCTCCAGTGGTCCCTTCCAACCATTCTGTGATTCTGCTCTATCAGCCCTGCTAACCAAATATACTTCTGTTGTTTTCAGATTTGAGGCACCTATCTTTTACACTTAGTGACAAGCAGAGTCTCACTGTCTTTTTAAGTCATAACCTGTTTCCTGACTGCACCACGAAAGTACATAGCAAAATTCCCATCTACTGCAATGGTAACACAAATAACAGATTCCTGCCCCAATCCTGCATTTGAGGTTCCCTTATACTAAACACGGAATAACTGGGGGAGGGGGTGGGGGAGGGGGGGGAGAGAAGGAAGTGTAGTTGCTAAATGGTTCTTCACTCGAGGTGGACCAAACTTCTGTTGCACCCTTCCACCCAGTAGTGGGAGAGGGAAGGTGTACACCACATAGTGAGCTGGCATGGATTGTTTCACCACTGTCTGGCAATTTCATTCCACATCTGAACCTCAGACTAAGTAATTAGATGTCATACCTAATTTTGGGTTAATGAAAAAGATATCAACAACACCCAAGTGTTTGAGGTCTACAGCTCAGAATGCAATAATAGGGAAGAAAGCATGCTAGTAAAGACATTAGGTTTTTATGTCGGTAATAAGTCAGTCTCTTCAGAGCTCAACTATTCAATATATCAAGTCACAAACATCAACTCTGCATGTCAAGTCCCATATCTCCACAAAGGCAACATTTCCCAATGTAAAAAAAAATAATCCCAATCTCCCCTGCCTGTTTTATTACTGACTAAGCAAATGTAATCCAGAGTAAGCCATCTTTATAAACACAAGCTATCAATACTCCTAGAACAGAAGAACATCCAGCAAACAAAAGATCCTACTGTCTGTTGGGATACAAAACACTCCACAGAATCTGCTTGAAAAGTATTCCTCTATATAAATCATCACCTAACACTCTGTAACACATAACAAGGATTCTTCAGTTTGGGATAAGGCAGACTGCATTACTGCACTGCGCTTCTCTGTTTGCTCAAAGCTGTAAGATTTCTACTAACGTTCCAGCCTCCATCTTCTCTGTGCGTTATTCCTGAATGACCTTGGCTTACATTGCATGTGTGGCAATACAATTCTTTGAAGCACATACTGCTGGATTGCACAAGACTGCCCTAAAATAAATCACGTAGGGAGAGTAATAATGCCAGGAACACTGACTTACTCCTAACATTGCCAAACAATGCTAAATGCAACCTCCTTATCACACGACCTGCTTCTCTCATCAAACGTATGCTGACAATGTCATCTGAAGAATGAAATGCTGTCACCATTTTCACTTTATAGGTGCAACTTGACTGAAACCATATTGCAGTCACTACTCGCTGTGCTTCATCACAACCATTCTGTGTATTAGACTTTACAAAAAAAAAAAAAAAAAAAAAAAGAAAGTGCCCTGAGCTGAAAATTAAACCACTTGTCTAGAAGCCCGTATGTGAAAGTCAAACCGTAACGCTTTTGGTTTTTTTGGTTTTTTGGTTTTGGTTTTTTTTTTTTTTTTTTTATGTTAGTCTGAAGAGCTTAAGTTGACATGGTTTCTTTTCCCACCTCCTAGAAAAACTTGTTACTACGACATCTCATGGAATAGTCATCGCTCATAGGCTAAAAACTAGGTAGAAACCTGGTAAAGAAAAGTATTTGAACACAAGTATTTCTACTTCTACTCATAGGAGAAAAACAGCAACTTATCTATAAAGTACAAATAGTTATAGGAAAAAAGGTACACACCGAATTTTCTTCCTCCTCTTCTAGTTCTCTCTGTTGTTCCTCATGTCGCTTTGCCTTTATCTCCATAGCTTCAGTGATCAGGTCCCTTAAAATTGAAACTGGCTTGGCATTCTTAATAAATGTATGCTAGGAAAAAAAAAAAAATCATTAAATTACATAATATCATTACAATAGTTATGCTTCAGATGTAATTACAAGTACTATTCAACACCACACATTTCAGTGATAAATAGTATTTTACATTACACAATAATTAAAATATACACTAACACAACATAGAATCATAGAATGGTTTGGGTTGGAAGGGACCTTAAAGATCCTCTGGTTCCAACCCCACTGCCATGGGCAGAGACACTTTCCACCAGACCAGGTTGCTCAAAGCCCCATCCAACCTGGCCTTGAACACTTCCCATGATGGGGCATCCACAACTTCTCTGGGTAACCTGTTCCAGCGCCTCACCACCCTCATAGTGAAGAGTTTCTTCCTTATATCTAATCGAAGTCTACCCTCTTTCTGTTTAAAGCCACTACCTCTTCTCCTATCACTATGTGCCCTCGTAAAAATTCCCTCTCCAGCTTTCTTGTAGGCCCCCTTATACATATACAACATACAATATCTTTTAGCTGCTTCATAACTAAGATTTTAAATAACCACAAGCCTTGGGAAATGTAATCATATAACAACTGTTCTATAGTTAAGGATATAGTTGTCCAAAGGAAATGTGCAGTAAGTAGTAAATAAATAGAGTGGTGATTGTCTGACATAGAAAAACAAACTTTTTCAGATATTCAGTTACAGAATTTAATTAATCTTAACAAACTGACAGCATAAATTAGTGGCTATAAGCAGAGCAACTATGGCTGCCTACTTCAACAGACCTGTACTTTATATGTCCTAAAACATTTCTTGATCTATGATGCTGAAATGTGGAACAAGCAAAAAAATATGTTACTTTTAGCAGGAAGATTAATTTTTAATTCAAAGCCATTTAAAACACCACTTCTTCCTTTAAGATGACATGTGCACAATACCATTTACGTTCATTTTGCTGTCTAGTAAACACCTGCTGTTAGAAAAATTATGACTTTTGCGTCATTATGCAAATACAATTTAGGCAAAATGTAACTCTAAGCACCTCAGAAATGTATTATTAAATATTAAAAAATTGTTCCACAAAGAACAGAACTGATGAAGCCTCGCATCCTATACCTATTATCTGTCTTCTCCCTTGATGTATTAATTCAATTACTCTCCTTTTTCTTCCATGATCTGTCCCCACAAGCAGTACTTTCATTCCCACTCACACATACCCACAGCACCTCCAGCTCCATCACACGTGCTCCAAATTCCAGCTGGGGGAAAAGGCAACACGTACTCATGCTGGAGACAGTATTTGGTTTTCTGGACAGTCAGCACATGAGAAGAGGAACACTGAAGCTTCCCCACCCCCCCTTACTTGCACACATTAATGGAAGTCTCTTCTATCCAGCTGCCAGTATTCAGCTAACCATATGAACTTCAAATCTTTAAGGTCTCAAGTGCTGATTCACACATCACACGAAAATCTCTGTCTAATTTTTACTCTCCTTGCAGTCTACATTTTGGTATTCTCACAGTGTGGAAAATAAAATATTCATAACATGACTTAGGAATTTGATGATCTATTACTGGAAACTACTTTGCAAAATTCTTATGTTCTCCTTGTGGTGGAGTTCACTGGAATTTAAATTTTAAAAGAGGCTATTGCTAGCTAGAGACAGAATAAATCTAGCATGAGTGTCTCACAGATGAAATTTCAGAAGATCAGATTCTTATGTAAACTGATGAACAAAGAAAATTAAGAATAATATTTACCAACAGCAGTGAAAAGTGTAAAAGAACTCTAAATTATCCAAAAGTTTAATGAATTAGCAATCAGGAAAGTAGAAGGAGCAAAGGACCTAGCAAAATTTTTCCCTTCTGTCTCATTATCAAAACAAGCTTATTTACAGGAAATTTTACATTCCATTTCAATCTTCACAGGACCTATTGTAATTTTTCTAGAAAACTTTCCCCCCCTCTTTCACTACCTTTGTTCTTTGTTTTTCCTTAGTTACTCGTAGGCTTATTATGACAGCTCTGAAGGCAGTGGATAAGACAAATACAGGGCCAAAGGAGAAAACTTTCTTTGCGTTTTCTCTCTCCCCCACGCACTGTGTGGCCCCTGTAAAATTATGTCCATTTCACAGAGACTAAATCTTTCTTGATAGATCAGTCCGTCCTGTTTGATTTTTGTAGTTCTTTGAAATCTTCTGCTTTATTTCTATCTCAGTACCAAAAAGATGCAACTGTTAAATTTCTGCAACTACTACAAGCTCAGGTCAGCGAGCGGGCGAAAGCCTGGGACGCCCTGCCCTGGCTCCATAGGTCCACACTGCCAACTGTGGCTCGAATTTAGAAGTGCCCACTTGGTATAGCTCAGCCCAAGAACAAACTCGTTATACCGTACATCTGCATCAGACCCTTCTAGGACACAGAACAACCTGTCTGCTTAATTTGACATGACCAGAAGGAAAGATTGAATATACTCCATGGGTGGTCCACACTGAGGGGTAACCTGGGCTCAGTTCCTTTACTTAACACTTGCCTAAATCCTGAGATCTATTGAGGGCCTCTAACCACAAAGCAAGGATCTGATTTTAACAGCAAGAACCAGCCCTAAACTGTATAAAGAGCAATTAATTTTTAGAAGTGGCAAAGGAGAAATAAAACGAGGGTAGAGATACAGAAGCTAACAGAGAAAGAACCACAAAATGGAAAAGAAATAAGGCATCGTAGTAGTTAAAATGAGATTTGCCCTTAGAAATTTTCACAACAGTTCTGGTTTGAGACTAGAGGAACAAAGCCATAAAACTTGCATTTCCTCAGTAACTTAAATACTGACCTGTAGCAGCTGTGTTGCTGTAGCTCTTTGTTCAGGATTTTTCACTAAGCATTTCTTCACAAAATCTGTGAATTCATCAGACCAGAGCTCAGGCTTCCGGAAGGTTGGAGGGGGATTTGTAGGAATCATAAAAATAGCCTAGATAAAAATCAAATAACAATAGCAAGTTTAAACAAAACATATCAGCACAGCACTAAAGCCAAGTAAATAAATTGCTTTATCCACCTTTCTTATCAGGCTAAGAATCTGGAAGACAAATTTTAAGTAAGTTAGGATTTCCACTCAGATCGAGATCCAGGAAGTAAATCCATCTGCTACTAATGTACCTACTTCCCATTAGATTTTCTCTATTTAAACTGTACCCCATTAAGCACATCACTTGTTATTTTATCTATTGCTGTTTATCAATCTTAAGACACGATTTTGTTCTTTCAGAAATTCTAAATAATAGAAGTAACAGCACTGCTTGTTTAAGCAGACACATATAAAGCTGCTGTGAAAAGCCAAGTTCACCTTCTCCTCTCTTAACTGCATTTAATTTTATAGGAGAATTGCTTAGGAAATTTGGTAGGACTACTATTTCCTTTTGCATTCATAATTCTTCAGATGTAGTTTTAAAACTTGCTTTTCCTAATAAGATTTAGAAACATATGCTAAGAGACCTAAGACAACACTAAAAGATGACAAAAATAAAATAATCAAGTAACTTGTCTACTAGCGTTGAGAATTTTCTTGAAATTGAAAAGGCAGCATTTTACCGATATAACAGAAATTTCACACTGTCAAGAACCATATGCAGACAGATTTTTCAACTAGGAAAACAGATCCATGCTATATAAAAAAATGTTTGTCCTACTTAAGATTATATATATTGTGCCATTTTCTTTATGATTTTTCCCAGGTTTTCCTCTAATTATAGATTTACACTTGTAGGGGGGGAAAAAAGCAGTAAAATTCTGAGACTACTGTAAAATAATCGGAAATTTTGAACTTCTGTACATAATATCTCAAATGCATTCCGTATCATTGCTTAAGATTTACACGACAGCAACACACTATTCAGACCTAGGTCTATCAACAGAAATAAGCTATTATTTTCTTCTAAAACCAGGTTCAAGTCAACCACATTTTCCAAAGTGAAAGGGAATAAAAGTTCTTAATTTGTTTTCCTACAAGAATAGACAGAAATATATACTCAGAAAAGGGGAGAAAAATGAAATGAGGTATTATGCACACCATTAACATCACAGAGGCACCAGAAGCTTCAGCCTGTGCTTGAAACATGGGAAGAAGGGAAAGGAAACTTCCTGAGATTTTATCCATAACTTCTTAAGAAGTCTGACTGGCCTTGAAAGTTAGGTAAACTTGTTCAAACCCTCATTCTAAAATTCTTTTCATATGCTGAAGAAAAGCAGAACCCATGCAGAATGATGCAAAAACTGTTTACTATCATTTTAATGAAAAATTATTTCAGTACTGAATAATTTGCTTTAATTCAAATACTTAAACATTTACAAAACTCATTTCATTATCTGTCTAATACAAGAATTACAAGAAGAGACCTGAGCATTTTGTTTAATAAAGATGTATGCTACAATAGCTTTATATTTTCAGTGTGCAGCTGTGCCAAACCAGTATATTAACTCAGACAGGAATCATGGCACTCTATTACCCTGTAATTGGCCTTACCTACTTCACTTATGATACAAGATTAATCATCAGTAGAAGTGAAGTGCTTCTGGTATAAAGCAGTAGCTAACAAATTCAGCTCTTTCTGTCCTTGAAGGTAATGATCTCTTCTGAACTTTGAACTGATGACTTTTAATCTTATCTTCAGCTACTTTTCCATAGCTACTGCAGAGCTAGCTGTTAAAACACACAGCTGTAACAGAAGACTAGTAACTTCTGTTTGTGGTGTCAAAATATATACCTCCTGTTTGATAATAAACATTGATCTGTCTCTGGGCAGGTAAGCAAAGCTTAGTTTCAGAGTCCTACTCAGCTCCAATGTTCTGGGAAAAATATTTGCCTTTGCCAAATATTTTCATCAACTACACAGCAATTAAGAACCATGGCAAAGAAGTGACTTCTTTATAATTCACAAAGGACAAGGAGAAGAAAGAGGGAATTAATGAATCATTCTTTTATGGCAGGCAATAAAAGTCACAAAAGGAGATATCCAAGAGCTAGAGTTAGGGTCCTAAATCCACATTTATGCTTTGTATGTTTCTTGAAAATACCTACTTCAGAAACACGTATATTTACTTAAAGCTTAAACTGAAGGCTTTTTTAAATCTTGGTATGTGACATGAACTGTGTTAGCTGAAAAAAAAAAAGTTTAGATGTGCTTTTGTAATACAAGACAACATATAGAAACCACTTATACCAAATGTTTAGTCCAACTTGTTAATTATGCCATGCACTTGCCAGCGTTTACCTCTCCCCCCCAGCTCTCAGCGCTCCCTTTCGTTAACTAGCCCAAAATGCTGGTTTTCAATTCCATCTTCCCCCTCTACTTCCTCATTTTGGCTTGCATATTTCTCTGCATAAAAGTTAAGCTTGCTCTCTCTTTCAAAACACTCTATGATTTAGCTTCCAACTACTTCTGTTTCCTTCCAAAAAGCTTGCAGAGCAATCACTGGGGAATTATAAAGCTAGTCCCAAATCTCCAGGAATAAAAACAAAAGACTTATCTGACAGTAACTTATTCCTCATTTGTGCTTCCATTTTTTGTCAAATACATCTTTTCCATCCTAGAGAACTCTGTCCTATTTTAAAACAAAACTAAGCTGTTTCAGTCACTCTGTTCCATGGGTGCCGAGGGAAGCAAGAAACCTAAGAGACTTGTTTTTTTCACGCTTCTTTCACCTTACCCTGTATTTCTCCACTCCCTGTGTTCTCCCAAACTATTACCTGTAGTAATTTTTTGCTTCCACTCCACTTATAATTTTCTCTAAAAGTTTCCCACAGCTATTGGTATTAGTTCAGTTCTCACAGTAGGGCTGATGGCAATGCTCATACAGCCAGCGTTAGGCAACTGTTGCTTAAAAGGAAAACCAAACCAAACCAACAGCATCAGCTAGCACTGAACATAAGCTACCATCCACCCAATTACATGGGCTGAACTGGCAGTAACAACTGCAGGAAACATTAGGAGGAAATTGTTCAACAGAGGGGGCAGGCTCTGACACACTACGAAAGAGCTGGGGCTAATTCTTCTCTCCCACCTTCAACATCACCTTCCATGTTTCTCTACATATCTGAGACAGACTGGCAAGTCTTACTCAAGTAACACATCAAATATACAGCCAAGATGTTAGATTGTATGATTCAGTCTTCAGTTTTAACCACTCAATCATCCTTTTTTTTAAAAAAAAAAAAAAAAAAAATCTCTACGCTGCGAGATGTCACAGGCCTGAGGGACCATGGCAGCTTAATCAGTTTGTCTTCACCCATCTGTAGCAGAGAGCCCATTCCAAATTTGTCCTGAACTGGTCCCTCCTCCTCTGAACCTTGAGCCCAACTCTCTACTTTGAATCATCTTTCATACATTGCTCTGAGGCAAGCCCTACGCCCTGCAGTGAAACCAGAATCCAAGGCAAACTACAGTATACACATGACAAAGGATGGGGCGGGGGAGCAAGATCCATCATCCAGGGCAGCTTTCAGTGGCCACTTCTGAACTTGGCACTAGACAATCTCACACAGTTTCTACCACCATAACCGTTGCCTGGAAGCACTTACCTGCCCAATGACCAGCAGTTACTGTTAAACTGAATACTGGACTGAGGACCAGGTCTTAAATGAGAGCAGAACTGCGCAAGTCAGCACATGATTTTCTTTTTCTTTTTCTTATTCTTAAAGTGCCAAGCATTTTAAACAAAGTCCAGGCTGAAGACATTTTTTTTGTGAAGGTTCTTTTATGGACAGTTTTATTGGCGTGAAAATGTAATCAGATGAATTAGGAAATGCAAAAAGAAAAATGAGAGCCTCATATACTGCATTTGGAATTTCCTAATCAGAAAATCCTTGCAGCTCATTCTTCCTGTCAGTCAGGGTACTACATCTGTATTTCACACAGCCCATGAGCATATTAAATGACCAACAGTAATTTGGTAGAGGTACTATATCTTTTGGGTTTTAGCTCCTTGAATAATTTATCTCTACTGCTTAGTTTAAATAAATGACTTGTAATAAATAGCAGGAAATCAAAAGAGTAACTTCTACTGTTATTATTTGCCCAGTATCATGAATGCTACTTACTGAAGGAGAGAGTAAAGATTTTATATTGTGGCGATTTTATAATTTTCATGCTGTGAAGCTCCACTGCCAGAATCTACAGAGAGAAACTTTTTTAGAAAGAGGGTAAGGACACAAGACATTCACAGGCAATTTGTGACGCCATAGTTTTTGGCACCACAATTATACTACTTAGCTTATCAAATCTACTGCAGAAAACAAACTCCAAAATACATCTAAACTCAATAACACATTTTAGAGTACAAAATCCTATTTAAGGCTGGGGGGTGTTAAATATTGAATACTGTAACATTTTATTAGCTTTAGAAACAAAGAATCAGCTGAAAGAGACATTTTTCTCTTCTATGTGATAGATGTCATAGAACTTCCCTCCCTTCTTGAATAGCCTTCAAAAGGCTATTGAAATACCACCAATTATTCAATTACACAATTCAACAGCTGTCTAGAAATAAAACACCAGCATGGACAAGAAGGGTGAGATACTAGTAGGTTCTGCATTGGTTTTGCTTTGTTGAGCTTTTTTTAAAAAAAAATTCAGAACTACAATATTGTTACAACAAAGTTTTTTGCAAGACTTTGTACCAGTGGAAAACAAAGTTACTGAACAACGTCTCGTGTTTAAAGGCAAGGAAGTCAGTTTATGACCTGCTTCAGTGTAGATAATAAATGTAATTGTTAGAAGCACCCCAAAAATCACCAGCTTCCTCCTCTCGGCTGCAAACACAGTAGTTCATGAAGATCTAGTGCACTCACATTTTTTGTGCAGAATTACAAACAGGTCTGGTTCCATCAGACATCTATCAGATACCTGATCCAAGGAGATTTTCAATATCTCCCAAGTTCGATAAAATCCCTAACTGGAATCTGAACATGCGATT